AGGCTTCCGAAATGACTCTAATTACAGAGTTATTAATTTTAAGAGGAGGGTGAGCGGGGGGTTTATGATTATTAATCGAGCGCCGGCGCTCGGCTGCGGGGCGGGCAAGCCGCGGGCGAGCGCGCTCGGAGCGTGGAGGAAGCACAGGCCCGGGGGCAGCTCCAAGCCCAGCGGGCTTCGCGGCGGCAGCGGCCAGGAGAGCTTCGGGAGCAGGCTGGAGGCGGCAGAGTTCTCCTGCGTGCGTTCTGTACCCCTTACCCCTACCCTCAATCCCACCTGGACGTCCATCCTCTCGGCCTGGGCCGAGCACCGGCGCCGCCGAGCGTCTGACTCTGCTGCGGGGAGACAAGTGGGTCTGCAGCCCTAGGACCGGGAGGTGCGGCTGTGCTCGAGGGAGCGCACACTCTCCCAGCTCCCACAGGTGTTGAGTGCCCATGAACCCCCCAGACTGTGACTGACGCAGTGTGGGCTCATTTAAAGGCATAAGATGTCAACAAAGATATTTATGGGGGTCCGTATTGTGTGCCAGGCGAGGTGCTGGGCCCTCTAATACTCTAATTTCCTCAAGCAGAAGGGATGAGCCTCCCACCTCTCAGATGAGGAAACTAAGAGGAGGAGGGGTGGGGGGAGGAAGAAAGCAAGAGAGAAAGCTCCTGTTTAATTTACCACATATGTCCAGTCACCTTCATCCTACTGTCTTATCTGAATGATCTGGCGTATTGCCTAACACCCTGTCCATCTTGAAGGAAGGTTTTCAAAAGAGTAGGCTGCAAACTGGAAACAGAAAGAAGTTCGTAAATGGTTTTGTTCCACCGTGCCGGCACTTTGAGAATATATGCCTGGCTATTGTGACTATTTTAAAAAACGCACAGGCCATTTAAAAGAGGCCATTCCGTGTAGAATTGGTTAAATTCCAGTCAAAATGAGACCCCTTCAAATATAGGCCCAGACCCCCCACTACCCTCCCCCCAAACACATTCATTACTACACTATCTAGATGGATGAGTTAAAGAATGCACAGCTAGTCTCCACAGACCTAGATCATTCCAGGACTTCTTCAATTTCTATCTTTTGGCAAAGATAACTCCTGCGCAAAGGGAAATAAGAAAGACTTGTGTGGGCCTAGAGAAAGGAGGGACTGTAGGGTGGTTCCAACATTTAGGGGAGGGCAGTTCTCTGGCCACAGTGAAGTCAGTTCTGAAAACAGTCAAAGTGCTTGTTGTGTGGATCCTGGGGAGCTGGAAGAGAGGATGAGCTCGTAAGTAGAGTCCTCTGAGTTCCTCTGCAGTTCCCAGGGCACCCTGGCCAAGCTCATGGGGATCCGTATGGGACAACCCAGGTCAGGCCTGCGTGTGGGGCATCAGGATCAGTCTAGGAAATTCTTGTCTGTGGCTGGTGTTGAGGATCAGGATCCACTGAGGCCTTAGCAGAAGCTGAGCCCAGGTAGGATGAGGCATGGAGGGGATCTCCCACCATCTCATGTTGAAGTTGCAGGCCTGCAAGCTGGAAAAGCCTGAGGCCCATGGAAAAGAACAAGACCTGGCTGGGAAAAATCAGTCTCCCAATAGAAAGAACAGCTCTTAGGGTGGAGCTCCAGGCTTCTTGCACAGCCGGGTGAGGTCTAGTGGCCCCGCAGCCTTATAGACTTGGCTGTCCGGTCACAGGAGCCAGGTCTGAATTTCCAAATTCAGAGGCCCTGGGCAGAGAAAAGAGCATGGAGGTGGTGAGGATCTGGAAGAGAAAGGGGAGGGGGGCTCCTGGTTTTCACCAAATGGATGCTCTGAAGGAGTCGTCTCAGACCCACTCAATCTCTGAGCCACAGCCAACATCTTTTCTCCCTCTGACTTCCGTTTGGGCACTAGGAATACTTAGTATTGCATGTGCTTAAGAGTTTAGGTTATGGAGACAGTATCTGGGTACAGATTCTACCTTTGCCACCTACTGGCTGTGTGGTGTAGACAAGTTACTAAAATTCTCTATGCTTCGGTTTCCTCATCTTGACTTCTCCTGAGTATTCCTCTATTACTGTTCTTTGTGCCCCTGACACCACGTGCCTACACAGGAGACAATGCTCAATCAGCGTATGCAGAGGTCTGGGCCTGGGGTAGGCATAGGGAATGAACTGATGTGGTCAAACATCTATGTGCCAGGGCTTAATATACCTTTTATTCAATACCACCCAACAATTTCGTAACGCAGATATTCTCGTTCCTGTTTCATAGATGAGAACATTTAGGCACAGTAAGTTCAAGGGATGTGCCCAAAGTTTCTTATAATGGGTACATAAAAGAAAGGTGGTATCTACCTGAGGACCACCTTAGTCCATTTTTCACTTTTGGAGTGCTGCTCTCTCTGTCTTGGGGTTAGTGAGAAGTTATCCCCTTCTGTGGTGTGCATTGTTCTATGTGGCTGCCTGGCAAGGATGAGTGAGGTGAAGAGACAGCCTTCCTTCCAAACGTGGTTTATGGGTCTCCACTTTTGTAACCACTACAGGATGGGGGGATTGCAAGGGGAAGGGGTGGAGAGTCAGGGAAGAGACCAGAGTTGATACTAAAGTTACCCGAAAAGCAAGAAACCTTAATTTATCATCTCATCTCACAATACTCTCTCTCTCTCTCTCTCTCTCTCTCTCTCTCTCTCCTCTATCTCCCTCAGACTTTTTTGTTTTGAGACCTTCCATCTTCTCTAGCTGAGACTATTATCAAAATCTCTGCTGTTCTTACTACCTCCAGCCCATTGTCCACACCTCCAGAATGGTCTTTTCCCTCCAAATCAGATATTTTATCTTACCTATTTAAAATCCTCAGTGGTATCCCATGGCCTAAAGGAGCAAATCAAAACTCCTTAGCAAAAGTGCTCCTTGATCTAGGCCCTGCTCACCTCCCAGCCTTATTTTCCTTGCCTCACCCCTGTCCCCCTTTTGGCCTCAAAGAATCCTTTGCAGTTCCCCAACTAAGTGGGTTGTCGCCCCCTCCCCATGACTTTGCTCTTGATCTCCTTCTGCCTGGGACTATGTCACCCAGCTATCCCCCGCAGTTAGTGTACATTAATTATCTTACCAGACCCCCGTCCCCTTTAAGAAGCATTCTCTAACTCCCTCGACAGTGTTTCACCAAGTTCCAGTCACCCTTCCAGCCCATATTGTGATACTTCACAGAGTTCCTTGGTTTATAGCTCTCCTTTTGCCCCCAGGTAATGTCCTCCTTGAAAGCAGGGCCAGTGCCTGATTTACCTCTATAACCCTAGAATCTATCACAGAGCAGACCCAGGTTCATTGAGTGACTGGTGCCAGTGGAGCTGCCCTGCTTGGTCGGTGTCTTCCCAATTTCCTCAGTCCAAAGATTTCTGATTTAGGTATCAGTTTCATCCTGCCTCCCTGCACAAGTAAGAATTGACCCGGCTGCTCACCTCTCTCCTGGAGGTCTTTCCCCATCCCTCTCCTCTGGTCCAATTCTGTGGCTGAACTGGCCAGTGGACAAGGCAGGAGGGAGGGGAAGGAGCGGGGCAGAAACAGAATGGATTGTGCACTGCCCTAGAAGTCTCAAGGTTGGGAAATTTGGAAGCATTAGTCATCTCGGGGGCTGCCTGATGGGCGGGAAAGCTTTCTCCTCACCGCGGGTACCACACGCACACAGCAGCCCTGTCGGGGGCTCAGTCTCCAGCCTGGCGTCCTGGGGGCGCCAGCGCACAGGGGCTCAAAATGAGAGACGGGGAGAAGGCGCTCCCACCCCTGCCTGAGCAGAAACCTCCTCAGACCTAAGGGGGAGATGCTCCCATTCGCCCTGGCAACTTCCTTTCCCTCTGGCCAGCATTTCCATTTTTCAACCCACTCATGTTTTCTTCTGCACCGCCCCACCTCTTCCCGCGATTCTTTCTCTTCTTTCCTTTCCTTCTTCCAAGTCTCGGGCCTGGGCAGCCCAGTGCGGGGCCCGGCCCCTAGAGCGAGCGGAATCTGCGCGGATCCTCTCTGTCGCCGCAGGGAGGCGGTTCAGGAAATGCGCCCTCCTCTGGCACACGGTCGCTGTTCTCACTGCGTTACTTTTTTCTCGAAGCTTTCGCCGGGCGCGTGGACCTGGAAGCTGGGCATCTGCAAAGGGAGTGAGGGAGTTCTTCCAGGCCCTTCAAAAAGGAGGGGAGTCCTTTTTGGAAGCTGCCTGGACGCTGAAAGTGGGGGTGGGGGGGTCTGTGCTGAGGTGCCTGAAGCCTGCCCTCCCCGCGTCCCCGCCTCCTTTCGCTCCAGGGAAGGAAGTCCCAGGTACCAAAGGCGCTCCCAAGAGAGAGCCTTGCGCCTTTTATCTACCCATGCCCTCTCCAGCCACAAATCCAGAATTTCACTCCACACATACACACCATTCCTTACAGGGGTAGATAATCTTGTGCGCCCCCTGCCCTGGGACTTTAGCTTGGAGTCCGGCCCTGCGCCCGACCCAGCCTAGGGCCCCGAGCGCGCAGGCTGCGCTCCCGCCCGGGCCTCCCGGTTCTGCGGCCCTTGCGCGCGAGCCCTGGCCGCCGCGGGGCGCGCTTTCACTGCCGAGCCTCGCAGGGGAGTTTTTGTAGATAAACAAAAGCGTTTGCTCTTTTGGTTTTATTTTCTTTATTCTTTTGTCTCCTCCCTAATCATCCTCCTCGCTCTTTTTTCTTCTCTAACTTCTTTCCCTCATTTCCCTTTTCTTTTTGTTCGCTTTTCTTTCTCTCTCTGCCTCTCTTCTTTTTCCTGTATCTCCCTCTTCTATCTTGGCCTCTTCTCTGCTTCTGGGTCCCTCTCTATCTTTGGGGTTCCCTTCTAGGGCCCTTCGCTGTCCCAGGGCTAGGGTCGCGCCATCTCCCCGTATCATTTTTCTGACTCCACCGCCTCTTTCTCACTTTTCCGTTCTCCTAGTGGCCCCAGTCCGGCGGGCTCGGTCTGGCTCCCCCGCTGCCTCCGCCGCCGTAGTGATTTATTCGCCTCACCCGGCAGAATCAGGTGCTGAACC